TTTATCTTCGTTAGGCAGCAGTTGAAGCGCACCAGCTTTGTGGTAGATTTGCCCCTGAATTTTGAACGTAGACACGAATCCTTGGCCTTGTTGCATAGGAACACTGGTTCCAAATGACATCATTTGGAAGGTTGAATTGTATTTCTTGATGAGGCTAAAGAATTCTCTCGATTTCCATTTTTTCCCTTTTTTGATATTCCGCTATACAAACTTCAAGTGCTGATATCTCATGAACGACACCACATCAAGACCTGAAATAAGTTGCGTTGACCTAGAAATTTGCGGCACTACATCCAGTGAAAATTTCATTGCGCTGCGTTACGCCGTTCGTGAGTTTTGGATGTGACGGACAAACACAAAGATAAACTTTAAGAAATATAGTATAGATAATTAGACAAACGACTTGTCACAGGAGTTCCAGTGGAATTAGTAGGTGCACAAAATACGTGTCGACATTCTCATTCAGATTTCCACTTCACCGCAGCCACAATTCAATATTCAAAGGATTTAGGTATAGATGCAAAAGTAAATCCCTACAAACGTTTCAGACAGGCCATGAGGGAACGCGACATGCAAATAAATAATCTGTGATGGTAAGATCTTTTTCTTTCAAGGTTAAGTTCATCGTTTACGCCAACAAAAGTCCATGTAGTTTTTCGTAAATAATGCAATCTAATTTATATCTTCAGCTGTTGGAGCGGCCAGTGATGACATTTGATGAGCAGGAGGTGGAGTATTAGTGTTTGAAAAGAATTTCTAAAAACACTCCATAAAATGCTCAAAAAACTATGTTTTATAGAGCTGATAAATTAAAATTGCTAAGCATGTTCTGCTTGAATTTTCAACTTTAGTGCTGATTGTTCTAATTTACTCTCAAATAGGTTAGATTTTCTGATGTGGTTTGTGATTCTATGCCAATCGGCACATGAAGTCATATACTGTTAAAATCTTTGTGAAGCGCTTTGGATTGCTGGAAACGAGTGTACATACCTGGGCTCGGTATGGTCCGGTCCGACTTGATCCTGAACCAGACCGTAATCCATCTGGTCCGACTTGATCCCAGTTTTTAAAAAGTTTAATGGTTCGAATTGGTCCCGGTCCCAAAAGTATCGGTCCGAACTGGTCCTGATCGAAAAATTTTTTAGAGATCTCTTTATTTTTTTGTTTATCGACCAGACAAGTTTTGCTAAACATTTAATCACCTGAAACAGTTTGTTTTCAGGTTTGATAAAAATTAAAATTAAACTCTTTTACGTTACACAGTAGAAATGGATCTTCAAAAAGTAGGCCAAATATTTTCATGGTCCAAAATGGTCTGGATTGTTCCTGATCCCAAATTTTTTTATCGAAAATGGTCCGAAGCGGTCGTGGTCCCAAAAGTTGGGACCGGAGCGCGTCATACAGAGCCTTGGTGCATACCCATGGAGTAAAAAAATTTGATAATATTTACGTTGGACGATAGAGGCTGTATATCGGATACATTTTTTTCGTCTGTTTAAAAACAGATGAAAAAAATGTTACAAGTAAAGTGATATTAAGTGAAAGATATCAATTGCTCTTCTAGTTGCGGCTTTTGTCTCATATAGACAAGTACATATGCATTTTTTGTTATCAATTGTCCTTCATCGTTATCTTTGATTTCTCTTATGACTTCATCGTTGAACGAATACCATTTTTGAGTGCGATGGTTTTTTGAATATGTAAGATAATGCCCCGAAGACAGTGTTCCCATATGATTTATAACACTAATCAAATCGTAAATTGCATCTTTCTCGTATTGACCTAGGTCAAAGTTATTTACTGGATAGTCGATGAACGTATCTATTTTGTCACTCGAATAAATGTCATATGTAAATCGTTTCAGTTGAATGATTATGATAGGTGGCAGTGGTGAGCACAGTTCAGATTTTTGTTTGGCTGCTGTTTGTAATTTGCATTTTGAGCAATAATATTGACCGTCTAAATCGGCTTCTTTCAAAAAATCATCCATTAAATTAGACAATGTAAGCTCTTGACTAATCGATGTGTTGGACGCTGACGACTGCTTGGATTTTGAAGTGTATGCTTTAGCACACAGGTGTGACGTCTCGATGATGATTGATTTTAGTGAATACAAATTTTCATTCATCGAAGATACTAGATGACGTTGATAATTACTTGAATAGCTCGTCCAAAAGACATCTGTTGGTCTCTCACCAGTGACAGACACAATATGTTTGATTATTTTCTGTATTTGATACGCAACATCTTGACCGTAACAATTAGATTTGGGTGTAACAAGATAAATGGGTGGACGAAAGTAACAGTGTGAGTCATTGTCAAGAAATAAACACGGTGTATACATTCGGTCATGTTTACTAATCATTAGTGGTACTTCAAATACCGAAATTTGATTATCGACAACACTTTTTAAAGACTCATCTAATGAATATTGGCTTTTGACATCATTACCATTCATTTTGGCAACAATCAAACTCTCCAAATCGGGTATATCGTTATCATCTTGATTTTCGTTAATACAATAATCAATGAAACTGTGAAGGAGTGTTGAAACTGTCCCATTTGAATCCGTCTCAATAATACATGATTGTCTGTCACCGTTTAGTTTTACATGATTTATTTCGAATAGACGTTGTTTTTTCTTTCTGTTTGTCAAAGGTAATGGAAGAAAACTGACGACTTCTGTAGTCGACTCATTCGACTTGCAAGTGAGGCAGTGAACAGTGGACCTTATTTTTCCATAAAAGAGATCAGTGATGATTGTTGATTGACTCGCCAGCTCCGTGTGTAAAATATTAATCAAATAATTCATAAATTCTTGAGCATCGTGCTGTTTATAATTGTCAAATCGTGGCAAATCTGCTTGAATAACTAATGTGAATGTGTCTAGTGCTAGCGACAAGGAGCCTTCAGACCACAATGCTTTGATCAATTCACTATATACACACGCGATTCGGGTATGAGAAATATCGGTTGATGTTAGAAAATATTCGGTGAGTTGTGGTACATTGCTCAGACATTGCAAAGCACTGTTCATGAAACAAGTGTTGCCTGTATTTCGTAGTCCGCGCACACCTGGCAGATACGTGATTGATTTGATATCAACACAGATGTAAGAATTATTCCTAAATTCCAATTCTTCAAGTGTGCAATCTTCGACTTTTGAATCAAATGCAATCCAAAGATCGTTGTTGTCTTTGTTCAATAACAATGTCACCGTTTCATTTGGCTTTGTGTAGATATTTAACTTATCAATAGCTATGGCTTTTAAATATGAGAGTGTTACTGTAGCACGTATGTACATATCGATGAAACTGTGTTTGAGACGAGTGTTTCGGCATAATCGAAATGACAATACTGCCTGACTATCGATCGATAATGGCTGCTGAACATATCTAAAATGTGCAGCAATATAGTCGTTGTCATGAATATTCGACGCAAATAGTGACAGTTTTGAATAAGCATCATTGATACCATTCCATGTTCCATTATCATCAAGAAACGATAGAAAGACATCACACGGGCTTTTGTTTCTGATTCGTAATTCATCGATCACTTGTTTCTTTAGCTGATCGCATGAACGTGACTCACTAATGTAGATGCGTCGAATGTCCGTTACAAATGGATAATTCGGGCATAGATTTAGTGACAATACACGCTCACCATGGTGAACATTAGTGATAGTGTACGGGTAATGATTGTCGAGGCGTACAACGTCATTTAAATGTGACCCGGTGAAAGTACGTCTCATTATTCAAAATTATGTCCAAAAATATAAATCACATGTATGAATGTAATGTGTTTTTTACCTATGTGTATATTTTCTTTTAATACTTGCTCGATTTACTTTTAACGCAGTCCACGTCATGTCATGTTTTTACTTTTCTTTCCTTTCCTTTTTCTGAAGTTCTTTGCACACGGCGAGCGAAAGACAAAAAGAAACACGCTTGTACTATACTTAAAATGTTTTAAAAATAAAATAAACCATTGTGAATAACATGTTTACAGAAAAAAATGCTGCAGTTAGCATTAAAAGTCAGAAAGAGGCAGGAGAACAACGTAATAGAGTCAGATTTTGTCTATACCTCACCTTTTTCATGGGTATTATACGTAAAAACTCAAAATCATTCCGAAAAAGCTTGAATATTATAGGTCCTCTCGTCTCATGACTACTTACTAACATTCTTACCTAATCAAAGTTCAGCTCTCGTTCATTGTGTATATGATTAATCACTCCTCTTTGTGTATGTTCAACATCATTCTTTCGTCGTTCATCGCACTATATATAACATTATGCAGGGCATATTCTTCAGTCTCTTGTGTAATAAACTGAGTAAACGATAGGATTTCCGTTACAAATACCCGCAAAACTATAGCTTAAATACAAAGTTCAGCTCTGTTATATCATTATCACGACTTATAACTTCAGTTTAAGAGCAACCTGAAGTGAACCGAGTCATCGTGCTGAATTTATTGTTATTAATTCCGATGATATTTATTAAAATTACATCACATTATAAAAGTTCTTTTTCAACATATATAGATATGAATCACTGTATGATACATCACTCTATTTTTTATATCAAATGGAACAAGGTAAATAAATTTTGTTTTACAACTGTTTTTTCGTTTCACAAAAGCTCAAGCCTTGAAATTTGAACTGCCCTACAAAAAAAATTTGAAGCGAAATCGCAAAATTGGCATTGGCGATGCAGACCGGTGCGTATGCCATGCCGCAATTATACGGCATTGCCTCAGCACTTCTCTTATGAAAAGTAAAGGACGTTGGCAGAAAAAATATTCGAAATATTACAAGTATACTATGGTGTATTTAGACCTGTGCGCCGGTCGGAAAATCGGCGGCGGCGTGTAACAGAAGTTTTTCGACCAGCGGCGGCGGCGGAACCTCATTCAAAGATTTTCCGCCGTCGGCGGCGGCCGAAAGATTATTTAAAGATTTTCATCGGCAGCGGAGGGGTCAACCACAACCAAATTTGAGTACAAAAAGCTTTAGTTTAAACCAAGATCCATTATCAAGTTCATCAAACTTTTATTTTATTTTCAATCAAAAATCTGCAGTTCAATCAAAATCTAAAGTTCAATTTTGTCTAACTATTATCGAAAAAATCTGAAGAAAGAAGAGTATTAACAGTATTAAGCAGAAAAATATCAAGAAACAAAAGCTGTTCTGTTTTTAATCCTTAAACATACTGTAATTATCATGTATGTATTGTATCTTACCCAAATTTTCTGGTCCTAAACTGACACGTTTAGCAGATAGTATAAGACCAGTTGTAGAAAATATTTCTTCAGCTGGAGATGATGTAGCAGGTATTCCTAGAATTATTTGTGCTAATTTCGCTACTGTTTTATAGGTATGTTTATTATTCTTCCACCAATATAATACGTCATCGACTGATTTAACATTAAGTGATAAGTAATTAGTTATTTCAGTTTGTAATGGTGTTTCATTATCATCGATTTCAGAATACTTTTCGATCAAACTTCTTTTAAGCTTTTTTAAATCGATTTTTTCTTCATTATCACGTTCTGATATTCTTGTTTTAGATGGTGTTACTGCTCGTTTAATATCATTTTGTTGAGATAATGTTTCAATTTCATTCAATTTAAATTTATTAATCATATGAACTAATAATGTTTCTTTCGATTTGTTCAATTGATAAAGATATTTTTCTATATTAATTCTCAGTTGTGATGGATCTAACAAAAATGCAGTTACATTAATTTCGTTAATTGGCATCCTTTTATCCAATGAATTTGACATTAATTGTTTCAATTCACCTAGCATATCACTATCATCCATAGCATCTTTCAAGTGCTCTTCAATATCTCTTCGAAATAAAATATAAAGATTCATTGAAGGATACTTTATTGATGATGATAATAGTTTTGTCGAATCTTCAATTATTTTTAAAAATGATACTAGTTCTTGTGACATTTCAAATTCATTCGGTGAAAGTTGTAATGTATCGCAATTTGATCGTTCTAAACGTTCTAAACGATCTAAAACTGACTTAATTGCATCTCCATTATCAATAAAACTTCGTAACATTACTAGAATTGTATTCCATCTTGTTTTTATACGTTTTTTCAATGGTTTATATGTTTGGCTCGTATTACCTATTGTTGTTTTTCCTATTAACAATGTTTTAGAGGCTGTTGTTACTTCATTTAATGGACTTGTCTCAAATAGATCATTTTTTCCTTTTTTACGTGGTGTTTCTTCATCAGAATCATCATAAGTCATTGACATTTTTTCTTCAGCGTCAAGACATTGTCCACAATTATTAATTATTTCAAATACAGCAGCATTTATTATTTGATTCGATTTATGAAATTCATTCTCTAATTCTTCATGTCTATATCTAAGTGTCGATATAATTGTCTGAACTTTTTTCAAAAGTTCTGGAACATCATAAGCTTTTGATAAACTGTCTGCCATAACTAAATTATGTAGCCCATGTGCTATACATGGTAAATAAATAATCTTAGACTTTTTCCATGCTGAAACAATATTCGATCCTTGATCAGATACCTGAAAAGCGAACAGAAAAGTTTTTGGTTAGACAGTGAATCGAATGATAATAGACGTTTCTCAAAGACAAAAACAGTGCAGCTAGTCCGGATTATACCTGAAGCTACAAATTTCAAATAATGGAAAACATTGAAAGGTATCTTGTTTTATAGCAGAGCTTGTTTTAGGTAGTATATAAAATTTTTTCAAAATCTAAAAAAAGTTTTGAATATACAAATAAAACAGGTTTCAGAAAGTGACAAGTAATCATTAACTTCTTAGTGTTTTAGAATCTTATTCTTTAGCACATGGGACTGTTTACGGACCGTAATAAGATATAAATCGTAAATTACGGTTTATATCTTGTTCAAAAGATGAGAAATTTTGTTTTCATCCTGGTACTTAAGGTGGTGAGAAGAGAGGGCAATCTATCGTAGGAAAATGATTTTTCTCTATCGTCATCGATAGAGCGCAAGATATATATACGTATACCGCATGCAATACACATATATGTTGTAGCGAAAACTGGAATTCGGTGAAATTCTAGATTTCGCTAGGCGAAACTGGAATCCGAGTTTTCCCTAGCGAAACCTGAGATGGATGTGCGTGCACATGCTCGATTCCAGTTTTCTCCAGTGAAAATCGAGATTTCGCTAGGTAAAAGTGAAATCCGAGTTTTTCCTGGTGAAATTTAGAATTTGACTAGATGAAACTGGAATCCAGATTTCTCCTAGAGAAAACTGAGATGCATACGTATGCCGATTCCACTTATCCGTAGTGAAATCTGGAATTTGACCAGGTAAGAGTGGAATTACTGTAACGAGAATAGATTTCAAGTTATAGAAACAAAATAAATATTTTACAAAGATGAATGAACAATCACATTGTCTAAAGGTTATTTTTTGCACTTCTTTTTCTTCTCCTTCGCCCCCTCCCCTCTCCAATATAGTACTCTTCGTCAGTTGACGAGTTGTTATCTTTCTCTTGTTTTTACATCGATTAAATAGAGATAATAGCTGTATTGCTGTTACATAAAGTATATCGTACAAAACAAGAATAACACACGAAAAGGTACATTATTTATCGCCATACAAGAATAAAAGAACAGAAAATATCTACAAACAATAAAATACGCAAAAATAACAAACAGAGTACAATTAAATTAAAAATTTTCTTTATTATTAGCACAAGCTTTATTTTTATATGACATTTTGTTGAGCAGGTCATCTTAGCTTTTTTACAGGGGCAACGATTAGTCGAACATTTAGTTTTACAATCACACGTAGCATTATTCGCTGCATTAAGAGATAGATATTTGCAAGCTTGAATAAATCTTATTTCTTCTAATAACGTCTCATCCAATGAACGCAATTCAACAGGAACAACAGATCAATGGCTGAACATGAAGGCGTTGTTGTGAAGACTTAACATTGAGCTGTTGTTGTTATAGTGGTTAAATTAGGAGCATTTGGGTTGTTATCAGCCATAATCAAAAATCGTATTGTATGAAAAAAGTATGATATTACGTGCGTCTTGTCTAGTGTATAGAACAAGTTAAAATGATGTGAAAAATGCGCATGGCAGATGTTTATATTATTTTTCACTTTTATCTCGTCCAGGCGGTTCAGTAACGGTTAACATTTTTAACAAAATCACTAT